CAGAGGGGTGGTGTGCCACGGGTGGTGGGGAGTTCGATTGGTTTTTGCGCCGAACCGCCCCAAACAGATCCCCCCAGCCGCTGGCAGCTCCTGATAGTTGCCGATCGGCGGGGCATGCGGGGGGCATCCGTTTGCGGTATTTCCGTGCACCAGCGGATCAGATTCATGCTCCCCTTCGGGGTCACCCCCCTCCATGGTGGATCCCGAGAGAAATCCAGGAATGAGGAGCACGAGGATGACTTTCCCCGACTTTCCCCCCAGGGCGACGTCCCTAGGAGCACGAGGAGGAGGAGGAGGAGGAGGAGGAGGAGGAGGAGGAGGAGGAGGAGGAGGAGGAGGAGGAGGAGAGGGGGGGAGGATGTCGGCGCGGCCTTGAGTCGGCGAGGCACCCAGGACGGGCAAGGGCAGGGTCCCCTACGTCTACAACCCGCTGACCGCGGCACCGGTTGCGGGGGACGTGCCCCGGTTGGACAACCTATTTCAGCTGGCTGAGTGCCCAGGGGCAGGGATTGAGACTGAGAAGGGTCGGGGAGGAGATGAGGACGGAGGGATGGAAGAGGGATGGGGGACGAGGGACGGAAGATTCTACGTAGGCCTCCTAGACGGGGTCGGAGTAGATGGGGTCGGGGCGTATCGCCGATGCGTCGGCGATGCGGCTCGATGTTGAGCTATATTTTCTCCATGCCGACGTCGCCGATACATCGCCGATGCACCGCCGATGGATTGGCGATGCGGCGAGATCCCCCAACCTCATCTACTCACCCCATCTAGGAGGTCTCTAAAGATAGGGGAGGGGGGGACCAGGGAGGTAGGAACAGGCGATCGCAAACATGGATCAAGGGGGCGTGGATTAGCGACGGGTCCCGTTTCCGTGGGAAATCGCGCATTTCCGCCGCCGAGCGAAGCGGCCCCGGCCGCATTTTTTGGGGGGAGGGCATTTCCCCCGATCCATGGATTTGGCGACCGCGCGCCACCGAAAGTAGGAGGCTGGATGACCAGGGCAGGGGCATAAACAGTTTCCAACGCTAGTTGGCCGTTCCTCGCTCTCCGCTGGGCCAATATTCCCAGTTGTAGGCGAAGGCAGAGGCCCGAAGGGCCCGACACGGGCCAGAGCTTCCGCTTCGATGGGTGGGCATTCGTGGTTCGAGCTGGAAGGAAGCGCGTCGGAATGCAGGCTTTCAGTCGGGCGTGTCCCTCTGCAGGGGGGCATATTCGAAAATGGTACAAAAGTAGACAGGGGAAAATTGTTTGACTATGTTTGAGCATGTTGGTTTAGTATGTTTGGGGGATATTTTTTATTTTTCGCCCAAGATCCGCCTGTAGGGGGACATGCCCAACCTAAAGCTAGAAGGAAGCGCGTCGGGATGTTTTTTTGCAAACGGATGCTTGCAATTCGTTTCGATCATGACCCAGGTTCAGGTGGACCAACGTACGGGTCCTTGTGCCTATACTAGTGGCTGGCAGGATCCCTTCGCGTGGGGAGAACGTGCGCACGCGTGATTCTGATATTCCGCGAGTGCCCTACCTGCCACGAGGGGTCCCAGCACGCACCTTCGTGGCGTCCCCGCTCCGAGCGCCCTGACCGCACACCAGAACCCGAGGGGGCTCGAGCTCGTCAGGAGCCAGGGCCTCCCCCCCTCCCCCGCCCCGCCGCAGACGTCTGGCGCCGTGCTACTCTCTGTTGACAGCGCGAATCCCAATAGAGGTCCGCTCCTCGTGTTTGGACGCCCGACATGGGTACGGCAAGAATGGGCAAAATGCCCAGCAGCAGTTCTTGCTCATTTTGAGCAGGACTCGCTGTCGGTGTCGCCGCGGCCCGTGCACATTCGCGGCAGAGGGCCGCCTGCCCCACAGCGGCCGCTGGGCACAGTGCCCATTCTTTCCGTGCCCATTTCTTGGCATCGCTCGGACGTGTGCATGTTTCCTTCGGCGAGGACCATCGAGGAGCATCTCTGATCCTTTGGCGAAAATCGGGGGAGCGTAAGACCCGGGTTTGCCAGGACTCGGGTTCGCCATCGTTTTTTGACGACCGCGCCTCGGATTTTGACGAGGAGGAGTTTCGTGGGATGCCTGCAGCGGGAGGCCTCGTCGAAATGCAGGCTCGGTCTCGTCATTTTTTTGACGACCTCGTCGGGGATTTCCGAGTCCCCCGTACCCAGGTCTTATTACGTCCCCCTGAGAAAAGACCACGCACGAAACCGAAAAAACACAGGGAATGGACGTCCGAGCGATGGCCAGTCCCTGACCCCCCCGTCGTCCGCGCACATGCCTCGGGCCATGATGTGCGACCCCCCCCCACCCCTTGGACGCCCCCATTTTTTGGGGGGAGGAGGAGGAGGAGGAGGAGGAGGAGGAGGAGGAGGAGGAGGAGGAGGAGGAGGAGGAGGAGGAGGAGGAGCACGAGGAGGACTTTCCCCGACTTTCCCCCCAGGACGACGTCCCTAGGATCACGAGGAGGAGGAGGAGGAGGAGGAGGAGGAGGAGGAGGAGGAGGAGGAGGAGGATTTCGGGCGTCCAAAAATCGTGGCCAGGATCTGCGCTTCTTCTGCCTCGACGGCCCCCCAACGGGGGCCACCGCTGGCCGAGAGCACCGCCGCCGAAGCGCATGTCCGGCACGCCTCAACCGCGAGAGGCGCCCGACGCTGCGCGCGTGCATGGGGCAGGCTTCCGAGAGTTGCGGACCGTGAAGGGCTTCGCCCATTGCCGAGGTCATTTCGATTCCTCCGGTTCGATTCGAATCGATTTCGGTGGCTTCCGATTCCGATTCGATTCGACTTCGGATTCCGATTTGATTCCGGTTTCTCATTGGAGGCCTGCAAGCCTGCCGATTTCCGCCGATTCGACTTCTCCCGACTCGGCTGCCGATTTCCGCCGATCCGATTTATTTCGATCGCCGATCCGACATATCGATTCGATTCTGGGTTCTCCTGCCACTGCCTCCGGCCCCCTCCTCTCTTCGAGTGGGGCATTCTGGAGCTCCGTTGGATGCAGGGGCGCCCGACACCGCTGCGAGCGTGCAGGGGGCAGGCTTCCGAGAGTTGCGGGCCGTGGAGGGCTTCGCCCACTGCCTCCGGCCCCCTCCTCTCTTCGAGTGGGGCATTACAGAGCTCAGTAGGATGCTGGGGCGCCGTCGTGCAGCCATGCCGGGACGTCACGCGAGGGCCAATATATCGTGAGGTACGGGTTGCGCAGCACACTTGAAACATACCTTTCTCGAATTCTGACGGTTCGCACTGCGAACTGATTGACAATCGTAGCTTCGGGACGCGAACATCGCCATTTTGTTAGTGATCGTAGCCTCGAGGACCGAACGCATCGTAATGTACTAAAAGACCGTAGCCTCGAGGACGCAGATACGGCGTAGTCTACGATGGATCGCGGCCGCGGTGACGCGAGTGTGGTATACGATGCAACGGTGCATGGCTTCGGGGCGCAGACATCACATAACTTACATTGGATCGTGGCGTCGAGGGCGGGAACATATCAGGAGGGAAACAAAAAAACACAGACACAATTAATCGTCGATCCCCAAGAATATTTGGGAAAATATGGGAAGTGGGGGGGAAGACGAGAACCCAGAAAATATGGGAAAATATGAGGAAACCCGTTATGTGTATGTATTTATTTGTGTGTCCCAGGGCCCCTTCAGTCTATTGTGAAGGGTCGTGGTTTCGCGGACGCGAGTACGGATTACATTCCAAAAAAGTATTTTGGCCTCGGCGACGCGATTCAACCCGCATAGTAAGGATGAGCAATCTTCCCAAGGATACCCCTGCATCCTTGCCTCCTCGACCCATCCTTGGCCGCGTTCGCTGGCCGCGCCCAGCCCGAAGAGCTTCGCAGTGAGCGTCTGAGGCCCTTGCATCCTTTATCGCGCATCCTTATGATACCGGCCGACGGCATTGCGTATTTTGCACGGGTTTGCAGCTTCGGAAGCGCAGGTGTTGCTCAGAGCCCCGAAACATCAGGGGTAACTCGGGTCAGGGCTAACTTGGGTTCGTTTTTCGGGAATCCGAACCCGACTTACCCCGGACCCGAGTTACCCCGGATAATTCGGGCGTCCAGAGCCCCACATCATCAGGGGTATCTCGGGTCAGGGCTAACTCGGGTTCCTTTTTTCGGAATCCAACCCGAGTTACCCCGGATAACTCGGGCGCCCAAGTTGCATCATTTAGTAAGGTGGATGGCCTCGGGATATCGCGTAATATAAGATGGTGCATTGCCTCCGGGGTGCGAATTTTAGGTATTCTTACGTGTTTCACGACCCCCCCCCCAGGAGACCGCCCAGAGGGCGTGGTGTAGGGCAGTGTGGGGCTCCCCTTCTCGCGCGGATGCTCACAATTTACAGCAGAAGGCAGAAAGTACAACCGTCACATTGGAAACCAGACGCAGGAATTGGCGCAGAGAACAGCAAGCCTAAGCTGCGCAGCCTGATGGCCCCACGCGGGGGCTGGCGGTTAAGACAACAAGACATATAAGAAAGCCTTACACAGAGCAAACACATGTCCATTTGAGTTGTTGCGCGTGTATCTTCCACCTCGCTAGGGAATAGTACGTAGGAGTTGTTGTTTTTCATTCGAAGCCCATGAGCAATTGTACCCGAATGTGTGAGGCTCATTTCCAGTTGAGAAGGCAGGCGACGACGATATTGAAGCACACTCTGGGTGCAAGTTGGTTTCGAGACGTCCAGCGAGGACAACGAATGAGAAGTCATGAACAGGGGGAGGAATCTGACACTACGACCTCGGCGTAGTGCTGGGACAGGTCGTGCTCCCCGCCGTTTGCCCAGGAAAGCCCCCCCTTCCGTGCTTATCGCCCCTGCTCTCTCCTCCTCCCCCTCCTCCTCTTCCTCCTCCACCTCCTCCTCCTCCTCCTCCTCCTCCTCCTCCCCCTCCCTCCTCCTCCATTGCCCTACTTTTAAGATTGTCCCTCCCCATCCCTCCTCACCCTCTCTAGATCTTGGGTCATCAGTCAGCTAGAAATCTCACACGAAGCCCGTGATGTGGGTTCACATCCACAAGTCCATGGGCACGTTCATTTATCCTCGAGGTCTCGGCCCTTCCGCCAGCCCGAAGTATTGGATTCGCGAGGGTGTCTTGCGACGCTTCACAAATGAAGGCGTGGTGGGGTGGGAGTTCGAGGAAGAGTAGGCTTAGGAGGAGGAGGAAGAGTATGTGGACGAGAAGAAATACGCTCGCCTCACACACCCGGGCACCCCCGGCAAGCAACGGTCAGCGGATTGGTTGGCGCTGCTGAACGGGGAGAATTTGGTCCGGCCGAGTTTCAATGGAAATTGGTGGCCGCACGACACCCCTTCGGGCGCGAACAAGCGCGTGAGTTGTCAGGACAGGTCCAGTTGGTTTGATTGGTCGAACGCCACCTGGGGCCAGATCGAGCATACAATCGGTGACGACGATTTATGCCACAATCAATTTAATTATGGCATTTTCATCCGGGATCCGAATGACCTAGCCATCTCCAAGGCGAGTTTCGAGAATTACACTGCAAATGAGACGCTTGCTTCATTGAGCTGCCTTCTGGATGCGACTGGCGACTTGAACAGAGCACAAGGTTGCAATCATGCAGCCCACAAGAAGCACGATTGGAGACTATGGTGGTTTTGGGACAACTTCCTCGTACGCACGCTCGGCGGTGAGGAGATCTGGTCGCTTCCTGCGGGGGGGGTCACCGAGGCTCATGTGCAGAAGGTGATCGCGCGCCTGTCGAAGTTCGACGCCGTGCTGTTCATGGATGACTTCGATCACACCGAGTACCTCAAGAGTACGATCGGTTGGCACCCGAAGCATTACACGAAAGCGAAGCGGCATAAGAACAAGGCCAAACACGTGGTCGAGCTGACCGACGAGCAGGCTGAAATTGCCAGGCACACGAACAGATTCGACTACATGGTTCTCGACCATTTCAGGCAAATTCCCATGCAGGTGCGCATCCGGAAGTTCCAGTGACTCCGCGCCGGCGCGTGCTCACGCACGGGGAAAGAGCTATCGGTTCCGCGCGCGCGTGCTGCTCCCATGGTCGGAACAACCGGAGCTCTGGCGGGTCGCCTCCGCCCCTTGTTTCAGCAACGCCCGAATGGGCGCATATCGGGGTGCGTTGGGGCTTTGTGGGCTGATTTTTGGGACCAGCGAGCCCTCTCGAAGTGTCTCGGCGGTGCCATATTTGGGCGGTTTGTTCAGGTGTTGAGGCCGATTTGGAACTCATCTCCTACAGCATCGGGCCGTCTTTGAGTCATCGTGGGCCGTCGTGGGGCTTGACTGATGGGGTCCTATGGGACCGTCGTGGGGCTCTCAGCGGCCTAAAGCCCATCGAAAACCGAACATCATCGGAATACTACGAGAATGGCGCAACATTGTTTTTCATTGTTCGCCTCCAGTGGTCTCGCTAGAGGCCTCTTTGGGCCCTTCGGGCGGCCTCTTGGGGGGACTGCGAATCCTTCCTCGCGGCCATTCAGCCATATTGGGCTGCTATCGAATGGCCTCTGGCCCATCCCGCCACCGTGCCTGGGTTGTGGGTATGACTCCTGTTGGATGCTCTTTGGGATCTCGTGGGAGGCTTCTCGGGGGCCTCTTGGAGGGAGTTTGGACGCCTCTTAGGGGCCGTTCGGGGGCCTCTTTTGGTCTTCTTTGGGGCTTCTAGGGCGCCTCCTGTCCTTGGCGCCTTCTGGCCTGGGGGCCTCTCGGGGTGGAAGGCTCTGATTTTCGGTTCGCGCTCCCTCTTTTTGGGACCCTCTTGGGGCCGTCTTTGGACCCTCGTGGGCAGCTTTGGGCGCCTCTTGGATTGTCTTGGGGCTCTCGTGGACCGTTTTGAGGCCCTCTTGAGGGCATCTTGGGCTGCCTTGGGGCGGTCCTGGGGGGCTCTAGGGCCGTCTGGGAGCGTCGGGAAGCCAAAAAGGCGAGACCACCAACATCCTTCAAGCACCTATGAAACATGCAAAACTTTTGGCCGCTTGGGGCCCTCGTGGGAGACTTCTGGGAGGTTTCTTTGGGCGTCTTGGAGGCCTCTTGGGTCGTCTGGGGGCCACCGTGAGAATCTTGGAGCGATCGTTCGGCGACTCGATGCCTACTTGGACCATCTTGGGGGCTTCTTGGGACCCTCTTGGCCCGTCTTGGGGCCCTCTTGGACCAGGACAAGTCACGCGAGGAGCCGCCCGGGACGCCAGGGGAACCGCGACAAGCCCCAACAGATTTCGGAATTTTGGGTCCGGGCCCCCTCAAAAGCTCCTCAGGAGTGGGGAGGGTGAGGCTTGGATTGGGCCCAGGACCTGAGGGCACGCACACTCCGTGCCCAGCAGCACGGTGGCGGATTCGGGCATCGTTTCACCGTCAGGAGTAGGCGGAGGACGGAAAGGGGGAGGAGGATGACGAATACAGTGGAGACCCATACCGAGAAGCACCCTGCTTGCCTCCAGGGTGCCCTGGGATTCCTAGATTTCGATGCTTTTGCTATGAAGAGCGTGACGCTCCCGCACCAAAAACCAAAGGACCTCCTGGTGTTTCTGGGTTGTGATCGGGCCCCTGCTGTATTGGAGCGAGGAGGACGATAAGAGTGGCCTCTCGCTGGCGCCGCGGGTTCGGGGTCTGGCTTGTCAGCGGCTTCCTGGCTCTTTGGGGTGGTGGTTAGCAAGAGCGTTTGGGTTCAGATGCGATCCCTGTGAGGAGCGCCCCCGCCTCTTAGAATGTGCTGTGTGTGGGGGATGGTCTAGAGGAGGCTGACTTTTCCCGAAGAAGGACTGCACCCGTGTGACCCTGACTGCCTCCCGCGTATCCGCCGCCATTTTATTGTGGACCCGAGCGGCGGCTGGTGATGGCCTTTCGGAGTTAAATTTCGAAAGAGAAGAACACATAGAGAAAAAGGAGAAAGAGAGACAGAGACAGAGACAGAGACAGAGAGAGAGAGAGAACAAACAAAACACCAAACATGACAAACCCTGGCGACGGACCCAACCATATGCAGTTGTGAGCACCGCCGTGTTGTGGCCATCACTTTCGTTGGAGCTCCCGATGGGGCAACGAAGATGCGTGCGAGGGGTGTGCCGAAATGGACTGGGAGCCGCGTGCGAATTGCTCCGCGGAGGCACTCGGTGGAGCTTATTTATTGGGCCACGCAACGTGTGAGGAGTGTGCCGAAGTAAGTGGGGATCCGCATGCGAACTGTGCCCCAGATGCAGTCGGTGGATCTCCCTATAGGACGACGGAACGTGTGAGGGGTGTGCCGAAACGAGCGTGACGCCCACATGCGAGCTACACAACGGTGGCACTCGATGGACTCCCCTTTGGGTCAGGAAGCGCGTGAGGGGTGTGCCGAAACGGGCGTGACGCCCACATGCAAACTGCGCCACCGAGGCCTTCGGTGGAGCTCTCTTATGGTGTCACAGAACGTGTGAGTGGTGTGCTGAAATTTGGGTGACGCACACTTGCTAATTGCGCCTCTCGGACTTTAGTTGAAGCTCCTTATAGGGCCACGAAGCGTGTAAGGGGTGTACCGAAAAGGGATGAGAGGAGGAGGGACGGGGCAGCGAGAAGATGAGGAGTGACGCACGCTGGGCGCTGCCTCTTCAGAACGAGGACCCAACACCACAGGATGGTTGGGGAAAAGACAGAGCGAGAGAGAGAGAGAGAGAACGAGAAAGAGAGAGGCCGAGGGAGAGTCATACACGTATGCATGCATGCATGCACGCACGCATGCACGTATGTATCCATGTATGTATGCATGCATAAATGTTTGTAAGTACGTATGCGTGCGTGGGTCTGTCTGTCTGTCTGCCTCTCTGCGTGTCTGTCTGTCGCTGTGCCTCTCCGTCCGTCTGTCTGCCCATCTGGATGTATGTGTATGTCTGGATGTCTGGATGCCTGTATGTATGTGTGTATGCATGCTTGCAGACAGGCATATTTGTGGATATGTAGGCATGTGTGCATGTAATCATGTATAGATATATGTGTGTAGGTATGCATGCATACATGTGTGCATGCACGTGTGTATGCTTGTCTGTATGTATCCATGTATGTATGTGTGTATGTATGTCTGTACGTATGTATGTATGCATGCATGCATGCATGCATGCATGTATGCGTATGTGTATGTATGTATGCAGGAATGTCTGTGTGTATGTGTGTGCGCGTGTATGTATGCATGTATTCATGCGTGCATGTACACATGTATGTAGATAGGTAGGTCGGTAGGTAAGCCGGTATGCATGTATGAATGCATGCGTGTATGTGTGTTTGTATGCCTGTATGTATGTGTGTAAGTGTGCGTATGTATGAATGAATGAATGAATGAATGACTGAACGTGTATGCATGCATGTATGTATATATGTATGTATGGATGGATGTATGTATGTATGTACGTATGTGTATGTATGCATGCGTGCATGCGTTTATGTATGTATGTGTCGATGCATTGCATGCATGTATGTATGTATGTATGTGTGTAGGTATGTATGCATTTATGTATGTATGTATGCATGCATGCATGTATGCATGTATGTATGCATGCATGCATGCATGCACGCATGTATGTATGTATGTGTGTATGTATGCATGTATGTATGCGTTAAGGTATGTCTGTATGCATATGTGTACATACATGTATATGTATCTATGTGCTCACACACCCACTCTGTCTTGCCAGCTCGCCAGGGCTCTGCGTCGTGACCTCAGGCCTCGTCCCGTCCTTGCCCGCATCCCCTTCCGCGCACCCCTTCCTCCCTGCCGGAGGGTCATGTATTACCGTGGGACGACCAGATATCTTCTTCTCGGCGGCGAGCGAGGGGGGAAATGAGACGGACAAGGCCCTCTCAGAAGTCGGCGGGACTTCTCGGATCCCCTCGCGCCTTATGAGAAGCTTGTCTGTTTTCGGGGAAGGCTCAGAAAACTTCTCGGCCTTGGGATTTCCGAAACTTTTGAGAAGGACTTCTCCTTATCACTTCGCCCCCCCCCTCGCTCGCCGCCGTGTATATTTGTGGGACGTTCGGATATC